CCATTAAACAATTACGTGGAGAAGATAAGATAATATTTTATCTACGTATATCATATATCTATATATGTCTGACACTATTGGTAGATAGGTAAACCTACAGCGAATGCTATATCACTGAGCTCAATAACTGCTACCGTGAGAAGTAAAGGTGTGGCCTGCCCAAAATGTTTGACACCTGTTAGAGATCAAGTAGACATCAATTTAACACAAATTGATTTTCAAGTTTGAGACAAAAACTGTGACATGTTGATGTAAATAACATCTAGGCAGTTTAAGACTTTCATATCTCAGTAACCTGTGCAATACAATTTTGTACCCTAAGAATATCCCATAAACAACTTACCTTTCGCACACCATCTTGAAATGTGAAAAATTTATTGCCATCATAACTCGCTGCAAGAATTCACAACACCAAAAGAAAGTAGGCATTAAGACCATACACCAGGAATAGAAGTTAGTGCAAAGCGAGGTAAAATGATGACCGAAAAAAGGCGAGGTAGAAGTTTGCAAATAAATGCTAGCTCTATAAAAAATTAACCAAAGATTGAGTGTTTGCGAACTAGTTTACAGGTGGCAAAATAATCAAAAGGACGCAAATTTGCAGGAGTATGTAAACTCTACAACCGTTTTTTTTCTTATTATTTTATTTAGTGTAAGATGCAAGTAAGCTATGTCTTACCAAACTAAAACATATACCCTACAGATGGTCTCCTAGGACTTGCTATATTCAAAGCCCAAGTTTGTTCACTAAAATTGAGTTCAAAATCAGCTAAGACAGACAAGGATCACCCCCAATAAATTCAGAAATTTCCAGTTTTAATCTAATCTTGAAGCATGCAAAGAACCAACAAAAAAACACTTTAACTAAGAAATAGGAAGGAAACAAATACAAAGGCAGAACATTACACGTGACTGGGATAAATCTCTGGCACGTCTTCACAACAAAGTTGTTGGATAGATCAGTGTCATCGTCTTCACTGGAAAATAGCTGCAATAGTAAAAAGACATTTTGAGTCACAATAGATCTGATTATATAATATAAAATAAACAGAAGAAGATAGTTACCACAGAATTCTCAGAAAAGAAGATTCACCTTGAAGGATGAGAAAAGGAGTATTGCGGCCAGGAAAAGATTCACCACCTCAAACCTCTTCAACAGCAACATTGCAGAGAAATTTCAGAAGGAGCACATACAATCAAGAAAGCAATATAGATTCACAAACACACATGCACAGAGAACTATAAATTTACCTGCAGTGTGGCTGTTCCTAGGAGTATTAATGTGAAGCGAAAGACGACTGCACCAGCAATACCATATGAGAGCACCCGATTCTATAGTTCAAAGTTCAAACAGAGCGAACTTTTCATAACCATGAATTACCACAGAGCTTTGGTTGTTAAAAACATCTTTTAAGTAAAGATTTGAGTGAACCTATGGACCACAGAATTTGAATGCTAAAGAGGTTTTATAAAATACCTGATACATGATTGGCACTTTGAAGTACTTGAAAATCAGAACAAAGACAAACAGATTGTCCACTGATAAGCTTTGCTCCAGCAAATACCTGAAAATTCCTAACATTCAGCACACAGCACAACATATAAATTTCAAAAATCGAAATAAAGATAACGAACACAACATGCAATCAGATGAAAAACATCACCAAGTTAAAGTACTTGTTCCCAATTATTTTGATTCAGATACTAGAAATGTCTCTATATATTTAGGTTATAGACCAACGACTAATGCTTTGGACTAGAAATAGAGTTCAACTTTCTATCAACTGTTTTAAGTTTCACAATGCAAATTTCTGCATACCCGGCAAAAAACTCCGTTGCCTTGCCAACTCCATCTTTGAAACCCACACCGACACCAAATGCTACCGCAGCGCACACCTAAAGGAATTAATATCCACATCTATCAGCATTATTGAAGCAGACAATTCAAATTAAGCTGAAAGGTGCTCACCCACAAGGCTACAGTCCTTACGGAGGAAACATAAACTTCACGTCCCTGAGTTTTCTCTGGAGAGGAAGTGTGAGAGGTGTCCACATTACCAATGTCATCATGTGACCGAGAATCGACCCTCTCACCTTCTGCAAATTGAGGAGGAAAATTCATATTAAGCTACAGAAAAATATCCATAAATTTGACATAATTTGCGTCAAATTGTCACAACTGTCAGTCCATTGGAGCTAAAATCCTTAAGCTCAAGTGACATAATCTCACCAAATCGATATTGGTACTATTAAATTAAAGTTACCCTAAAAATTCTTTTAAAAAAACAAAAACATAAAGATAATTCAATGTGGGCAACTCCAATTTGCTCATGAATCTCGATTTTGCATCCAATGAGTAGAAGAAACTCAAAGTCACCTGAAGTGGATAAATCATCATCTTGCTCAGTTGTTCTAGAACGTGCAATCGGCGCAGATTGGCCACGACGACTGTGACCACCTGCAATCCAAATTCGACAAATACAAATATGTAAAAACTGGCTATCAGACTATTTCATTGCATAGTGAATAGAGGGAGAGAGAATGAAAGACCTGTGCGGATGCGAGGGATATGAAGCTGAATTAAGTGAGGCCTAGCCCACTTGGGGGCTGGAGATGGTGGTGAAACCCTAGGCAAGCGTGAACTGAGCTTCAGAGGAATGTGGACGCCGTTGTGGACGACAGAAGCCATGCCCATGGCTGCGAGGGAGAGAATTGGTGCCAAATTCAAATGAAGGAGAAGAGGGGAAGAAGAGAAAAGCAGATGTATGGTATCTTATCCTTTTTGAATAAATTGGCCACACAGAAAAATTGACACATTTTAAAGAAGGACAATAAAAAAATTAATTAGTTAATCACAAATCTGGCATCCAACGGTCGCCTTCAGCGCCTCCTCAGCTGCAACTGGATTTCATGCTGTGAAAATTACTTGGCGGTGGGGGTAAAAAATGATAAATTTGAATTTAGAGAATAAGTTCTCGAATGGTATTTTGTAGCTAGGGTTTTTTACTGTCTCTGAATTTATGCAAACTGAAACTAATTTATAGATGATTTTGGTTCTCCAACTTTCTCATTTGTGTTTAATAAAAATAAAAATAAAACTTCTCCAATTGAATCATTTCGTCACAATTGTCGTCATTTTAAATCACTTGAATGGCATATGACTTGCTTTTTAGCGGTAAATGCGACTTTTGGGTCAAGTCTAAACCATTATAGACAAACTTAGGGCTATATTGGAGTTTTAACAGTAAGTATGACTCAAATTTGGAGATTTTGGTGAATTATGATTCCAATTGAAAAGAAATGAGATATGTGAATAGGGTTTCAATTTGGGGAACAAATGGGTCGTTTTCTAGAAGATACTTGCTCTAAATTTGACGGTTTTATCTCTCAAATAGCAGAAAAATTTACTTGTAATAAGGATAACACTGTTTTACTATTTCTAGCCAATAACACAATGACACGTGAAATAGTTGAATAATTAAAATAAGAGTGCTGCTAAACGAACCCTAAAATTAACTGAGTACACTCTACTACCAAACTATTTATTGAATTATTAATTTACCCTAATATAAAATGACCAAAAAGGATATATTGAATTGTGAAACAAATGTAATTTTAATAAGTACACCCTACTCTAAAAAAAATAAAAAGTACACCATACTCATCATAAAAATGAATGATTAGGGAGGGACCAATCATAAAGCCAAGCCGGATTAACAAATGTGTCTAGAGATGGGTAAGTTAAGAATGGATCTTGTACTATGAGACAACCATCACAATGTCTGTCTGATTCATATAGAAATTGCAGAATTAATGACAATGATGATATTTCTTCTGAAAACTTTTCAAACAGAAGAAAAAATATGAGTCCTAGACTTGTGACTCAGCATACAAAAAAAGGTTCCAGCCAACCATCTGCATTTGATTCTGAATTTGAATGAGGTTCCAGCCAACCAAGGCCAACATCGCTGCAAATTTAAAGGCGACACTACACTGTAATTCTAGTTACTCCACTTCACACTGTATTCTAATCCTTGGCCACCAAATGAACATGCTTATGCTTGTTCTCAACTTTAAATCTGAAGCTTGAATTGATCTGGCACAAAACAAGTAATATGATTAAAAATAATAATGTAAAGGTGGAGCCAATATCAATAGATACCATTTAATTGAAGGTACTAAATAAACATTGGATAGGCAAACCTTTGGATCAAGCAGATCACTGTATCACTGAGTTTGGCTTCATCATCTGTTATGCCTGATTCTTCAATAGCCTTCAGAACAAGTGTTTTCCAGTTTCCTCATCTTCAGGACTCCATCATTCTGCACCAATGCATACAAAAAGCAGATTTGAGTATATATATATATACACACACAAACAAAGCTGTTTTAAGTTTTTATAATGGTGTATTAGGATGTAATGGGGGTATTTTTGGTAGTTAAATAGGGTAAACTTAGTTAATTTTACATTTTGATTTAAATATTAGGGTGTACTTAGATCATAGGGTGTACTCAGTTAATTTTAGGGTTCATTTAGCAGCACTCTAAAATAAAACTCAATTAAGTGTAAGTTCAGGAATGAATCATTGCTGTTAAAAATCCTTATGAATAATTTACCGGACAATATTTATTTTTGGAACAATGCTACTTTTACCATATTTGTATACCACATTATTATACCACTTTATGTGGCAGATGAGGTGTACAACTACATCAATTAAAAAGTGTTAATAAATCATAAAAGAAAAGAAAATACTAAATTAATTTTAATTAATGTGGTTGTACACCTCATCTGCCATGATATAGAAATATGATATGTAAATGCGGTAAGAGTAGCATTATTTTTTTTTTATAACCAAATTAGGACCGACAATAAAATCCGTTAACTTGCAAAATTAAAAAATCTCAGTAATTTCATACCAAAAATAAATCCGGTAATTTCATAAATTAGTTGGTTTGATTGACCAATCAAATTACACCGCGCTGGGGTATAAAGGGAGAAAATATCCCCCAAAACATCAGACGCTTCTTGTTTTTGCTCACTGTTCGACTCTTCACATTCACAACCACCTAACCCACACCAAACGGAAACTCTCTCTCTCTCTCTCTCTGCCTCCCCTCCCTCACCCTCTCCGCCGCACTTCTTACGCAGTCTCCGATCCCCAACCCCTCCAATTCTCCAATGGCCACCGAAACGCAGAAGCTCAGCGACACCAACCCCGCCCTAGAGAACCCTAAGAAAACCCTAGACCCTTCCCCCGTCCCACCCACCGCCACCAACCTAGATCGACCCGAAGACCCGCCCACTGACATTCCCTCCGATCCGGCTCCGTCGTCGGAGGTTGTGTCCGAAGAGAACGGCTCCAAAGCGGACTCTGAGGATCCGAAGACCGCCGCCGGCTCTGAAGCCGGTGATGGTGCTGCCCCTGCTACCGCTATTCAGAAGAAGATGCGCCGAGCCGAGCGGTTCGGGATATCTGTGCAGATGACTGAAGAAGAGAAGCGCAACTCTCGGGCAGAGAGGTATATTTTCTTTTGGGGGTGAATTTTAGGGTTAGGGTTTCTTGGGCTTTCTGTTTTTGTTTCAATTTCCCTTTGGTTACTGGGAAACCATGGTGTGAAAGAGTAGAAAAATAGATTCTAGCAAAGGGAATGCAGCTGAGTTCATTGAGTGTGTTAAGATTAACATGCATTATAAGCAGTGTTAATATTATTTGATAAGAAATAAAATAGGTTGTGATGATTTCTTAATCGAAAGATGATGGCACTTGAATTACCAAGCAATAGGGGGCTAAGTGGAGTGGCAGGGTAAAAGTTTAGTTGTGGTCAAATTTCATGTTTGAAATATTGTTTACGGAGGATGTGACTTAATTTTTAATCTTTATTTCACTTGTTTTCTGGTAATTGTGTTTCTGAAAGTGTTGGTTTACCTACCTTATGGCAGGTTTGGCACTGTTTCCACATCGCATGGATCAGAAGCATCTAAAAAATCAGAGGAGCAGAAGAGAAAGGCTAGAGCAGAGAGGTTTTGTTTCATACATCTATTAATTGAGTGCTCATACAGAATTCTTGAATTTGAAATTGGAAATTTCTGGTTGTTTGTTCTGATGTTGCTATTAATCTCTTTCTTGGTTATCAGGTTCGGGCTTTCCGGTCCAGCTGTGGCGGGTGATGAGAATGCAAAGAAGAAGGCTCGTCTTGCTCGATTTGCACCTATTTCCAAAACCGATACTAAAACTGATCCCATGGAAGAAGAAAAAAGGAAGGCAAGGGCACTCAGGTATGTGTCAGTGCATGCTATTTACCTATTGTGTTAATAGATCATTTAAACATTTCTAGTAAACTACTCGAGGATTGATGCTGATATTTCTTTAGGTTTTCAATAGAGTATTTTTTTTCGTTTATTTTAATTATTTTAAATCTTTAATGTTATCTTTCTAGGTTTTCAAAGGCCTCAACAGGTTCTCTTTCGCAAGTGAATGACAAGGGAAATATCGAGCCGGTAACACCCTCTTAGTTTGACTGCTTCTGAGAATCTTTTGAATAAGAGTTTTTTCTTTGTCATTATCTTTCTTCTAGTGCTGATTATTTTATTTTTCTATATTAGAAGGCAGCCATAGCTGGTAGTGCTGGCGGAGGGGTTTGAAAGGAAGCGTACTTTGCTAGTAGTAAGTTGATTTTTATATCTACTTTGGGAGTTATGGATCCAGTTTTAATTTCATTTTCATTTTCCTCCCCTTGTACATTAGTACAGACAAGTTTTTATGCTTTTTCAGTGGGCTTCTTTAACTTATCCTGTACCTTGTTTTGATTTCTTTGGCAGGTGTAGAAATCTAACATTTTGTGGTTCCCTCGGAGGCTTCCTTACCCATCATTACCTCTGATTGTATGGATTATCAGGCGCAGCATTTTCCCAATAGCGGATACACATCGTTTACAAGTCATTGAACACAGTTTGGAGGCATAGCGGAGCTTTATTTCATGCTTGTTTTGGGTTCCTTTCAATTTACCTGGTGAGGCTTGGAATAATCAACAACTATCTACTTAGTGTTAACTTACCCTGCAATCTATCAAGAATGTCAGAAATTCAGTATTTGCGACCAATGGAAAATTTAGTATTGGATGAAGCTTTTGCAGAAAGTATTGGGTGGCTACTCACGATGCAGTGTTGAACAGTAATACAAAGTTGGTTTAAGTCCACATCATCTGATCTGTTACTAATTGTGTTGCAACGTGCTGTTAATCACATCATACTGAGATGTCTGGATTTTAGTGTCTTAATCAATCAATCTGTCATATTAGTTATTGTTGGTAGGATGAGTGGTGATAATATATTATTTAAAAAGCAGAAAATTCTAGCCCACATACACAGTTGAGGATGGGTGCAATCATGGAGTTCACTAGGTAGGCAGATCTCTAGTATTATACGGAGCTCTGTATAATTTGTTTGGTTTGTGTTAGTTTAATTTATGGGTTTTTATATTTGCGGTTTATGTTTTTAGTTTTCTTATTGTATGACGGCACATGACAACACATATTCTCACTATTCTGGTTCTATCAGTTATCCACCTTCTTAATGCCACTGGTTTGGATCAGATGAGATGTGTAGGCATATGCTACTGAGTACTGCTGTTCAACACTGCCATGAGAAACATGTCAAAAATAGGTTTTAATTGAGTAGAAGGTAAGTTTGTTAGACGGACTTCTTTATATGTTTCAGCTATTCGTATTTGCTCCACAGAGGATTTACCTAGATTTTATTGTTAGAATTCTGATATTCTTGGTTGGCCATTTCGGGGTAAGTGAACAATTTGGAGGTGGTGGTTGATTCTCTTAAGCCTTGCTGGGTGAATCATGCAATCAACAGGTAGGACATTGGGAATGGATTGTACTCAATTGACATTTTGGTCATTTTCTTGTTTTGTAATTTTTATGTTTTGTATATGAAGCTTTCATTGGAAAAGAATGTAGAAACAAACATCCACCTTATGTGGAAATTCATGTTTTGTATTAGCATAATGTGGATGGAAGACCTTTTAACTAATTTTTGGAGGGAATCAGAAAATGTTAGTTTACATTTTCCAGTTTTGTTAAGTTGTCAAATTGCCTTGTGATGTTCTGTTTCTCACCTGAAGTTTTCTAGTCTGAGTTGTGTATGTATATTTCTTTTGTTCTGTTGGTGGTATTGCATGTTATGTTGAAGGGCTGTGAAATATAAAAATTGAGTTGAATTAACCTTCCATATTTCTCTCACAATTTCCATCAAATTTTTTTCTTCACAAATTTCTACATGTTTCATACCCTCGATATTCCCGTGAAGATTGATACGTTGAAAACTTTGTACACCTTTGAACATGAAGTTCTTAAATCACTGAAAATTGAAAATAAACGCGAAGGAGTAGGTGTACCATTTTGAGTCGAATTTAAACTTGGGAATTAGGGTTTTAATTTGTTGCCTTCAACGTTTGCATGACAAATGCAAGCGAATATTGACCCACACAAGAAATAATAGTTAAAGCGATTACATATTCTACCATATGATTAGTTATGGGTTTTTTTTTGGTTGCCTACAACTACGATAGGAAGATCATCATTTAACTTATAAATTACAATTTACAATAATTAAACCAAGCCCCTATGACTATGAGTTCTTCTATGTGCCAATTACAGACAAATATTTTGGTAAAATCCCTCATTGCCATTGCCATTGCCAAAAGCATCTCCCTCCTTCAGCTTCCACTAGCTGCTATTTTTGGACAAAGGCTTTTTTGGGTTGATTTTCTTCACCACCAGAGGCTGGAGATGAATAATTAAGCAACAATCTAGATGTTGGGTTTTAATGAAAATTGAGTTTTGTGTGGGGTGGCTCCACCCTTCAATCTTGTGCTTAGAAACACCACCACAACACTGATGTCGTCATGAAAATGCCTTCTCACTCCTCTTTCAATCTTTCTCAAGTCCGAGTACCTCACTTCTCTCTTCTTGGCTGCTTCTTGAAGTGCAGCTTCAACAAGCTTCCTGGCTATTCCCTGCATAACCAACAAAACATAAGCTGTTCATCAACCTCCTCCAGTAAAAGACGATGCTATAGAACCCAACTCTTTTTTCGAATTTTTCGTGTAGGAGAGTTGATTAAAAAGGTTGGTTTTTTTCAAAAGCATTTTCCTTACTTTACGTGGGTAACTATTGACAATGTCCACAGCCTCCTGGTTGCTGAGATGCTCCCACAGACCATCAGAAGCAAATATGAGAAACTGATCTTCAGGGTGGAGTTTAAGCACCGATATGGACGGTTCAGGGATGAGAATTGGCTTGAGGAAAGGTTCAGGCAGCCTAAACTTTAGGGGTAGAGGCTCTCTGTTGAACTCTGCATTCTTTAAATATGCATCACCAAGGGATCTTGTAACCTGCAATGAGATTTGAATAAATCCTAGTGACTTGAGCAAAAGCTGAAAGAGCACAACAGCTTAAAAACCAATACGTAAAAAGAAACTTCAAACAAAACGAATTTAGACCACTACCTGTATGAGGCCCTTCACACGCCAAACTCTGTGCCTCAAAACCACAATCTTTGGATCATATGGATGCATTGACTTGAGCTCATCTCTCACAGATTCTATACTTGCATTGTGCTCTGTAGATAATTGAACGGCTATGACCTCTTTCGTCGCCGTTTCGATTTTTCCTAAAACCACCCGAGAGTCCCCAACATTTGCTGTGTAAAGCAGTCCATTGCAAAGTATCCCAACCAAACAACATGTTCCTGCAGATGCAATCTGTGGTTTGTTGAGCCACTTCTTCTTCACCATGGAGAGAAAATTCTCCTCTGTGGCCAAGTAAGCCTTCTTGATAACATGTTCTGATATGGCCCTATGCTCAGCTGCAATTCCTGCTTTACCATTTAGTGTTAGAAAGAAAGGGCTTAAGATTGAACAAACATCAAAGCAATCAAGAGGGACATTTATAATTTTTGAAACATACTCTGAAGATTGCAGAAGAGATTTTCATTGACATATGTTGAAGCCTCAGACCCTCCATGCCCATCATAAATACCAACGAAGGTCCCCACAGGACCAGATTTTGTTGAACTCAAGGGACCGGATTCGATTTGGCTTTGATCCTCCAAAACAGAATTGGCTTGAATGACAGCCATTGAAAATTCTCCCCAAGCATGCTGCCCCAAGTCCTTGTACCACAACAACCCATCAACACGTCCACTGGCTTCACTGCCACCACGCCGAGGTCTATCATCAACTGCAGAGGGTTTCCAACAGGACCCCATTTTTTCAAGCAACCACTTTATATGATATAACAAGAATATGTATCATCATCCAAATGAGCCAGCAACCCGAAAGTTCATCAAATGAAGATCAAGAGCAAGAAGTAGGCTCAACCCCAGCTCCAGTTTTTGTTTATGTTTCAAAGCGACAACTCCATTCTCAAGTTTATACCCTTCAAAACCAGACACCATTAATATGAACAAAACTCAGATAAAAACCAAAAGGGTATGGGGCTAAGTCAAGTCACGAATGTGTCTTGGGACCGGAAGGCAGTAGTTTAAATGTGAGTTCAGAGAATATGGAGGCCTGCTGGTTCTGTGTATCTTGAATTGGGGTTAAATACGTTTGGTTTCTTTAATGTGTGCCATGTTTCAGGAGCAGACTTAGCTGTAAAAGCACATAGAGACTTGGAAATGGCAGAGGTTGGTCTAAGATCAGAGTGATCAAAGGGAGCACTGGATAAGAAAAGGGTTTGGAGTTTTTCGACAGAAGATCTTCAAATTGTTGTCAGATGAGATCTAAGATGGGCAATGAAGAGAGATTTCGAGCTACAAACTCTGACATTGTTTTTCCTCCCTTGTGTTTTTTTGTTTTCTTATGTTTTTGTGGCCTAGTGGGTTTCTGAGACTTCCCCATTCCATGGCTGAGATTTTGAGTTCCCTGACCTTTATTAGAAGTAAACCATCATTTTAGGCAATTTTTGCTCTTCTTATTAATCTTTTATTTGGGCAATCCTTCTCATTAGGTATGAAACTTTAAAATAAACTCTGTATACGTGAAACAAATCGCCGTAAAACACATGTACATCTTCTATTTTTTTAACTTACCTCTTATTTTTGGTTGAGTGGAAGTACCTAACTTTCATAGTCATTTGGGACCCTTGCCCTTAGTGGATCTTGCACTCTCATATTTTACCTTTTGTTTATTGAATAATCCAAGCTCTATCTTTTCAGCACAACTAAGTTTACCTAATCAAACCATTAATTAAGTGATGTGTTCTAAAGTTCAAACACAAATTTATTGTCTCTTGAAGCAATAACTTTTGTGACAATAACCTAATTTTCATAAGCGAGTTTAAGCTGTCCAATGGTTTCAATCCAGACCATGTTCAGTTTCTAGAGTCTTTTTCTGTGATTGCTTCTTCAGTTTGCAGAGTGCAGCATAACCATAATGAAACTACTTTTTCATTGCATTTCGTCTGCAACTTCTAAATCTAGACTTTTTTTATTATAAACAGATTGAATCTTTTGTATTTGGTAAAGTTTGCTGTTATATTATGGGGTCTGTTGTTCGTGATGGATGGCCTTGGTTGGTAGTGTGCTGCACACTGTGTGCATGTAGAGAGAAGAAATGAAAAACTCTGTGGTCCATGCTCCCATGCTCTAGCTTGGTTGGCACATCGATTTCATTCAATTACACCCTGTTTGTGGATGGAGGAGGCCCCTCCAGACATGCATGGAGGTTCTACTTCAAAAGGATGGAGAAGGCACATGAATTGATTATAATTTTTCTGTTCCCATTTAAAAGAAAAAAAAAAACAACGTTACTGCTGGTTGCCCAACGTGTGTACCTTCAAAAAACACGACCGCCTATTTTTTAATTATTGAAAAGGGAAATTCAAACTTGGAACCTCTTTCAACGTTAAGAAAAGAAGTACCACTAGACTAAGATAACAAATAATTTACTTATCTCGATATCATCTTGATATTAGGTCAATACTGTCAATATTGTCCCATTATTTCGCTAGAAAACAGTCTCAGATAGTCTTTATAGGATCATGTCTATATTGAAGGTATTTGATAATATTTCCCTTTTTCTCTTATCATTCTAATTTTTCCGTCTCCACCCGAATTATATGTTTAGAAATTTTTTCTCATACGTACTATCAAGATGTTATGGAGGTTCGAACTTGAGACCATAATCGCTGGAGACTAGACCCATTGCCTTAAATACTTGAAATGCATAACTATAGAATTCATGAGCATATATGTACCAAATGTCACACCATCATGACAGTGCAAACACTAATTTTACCATTCGGCCAATGCATCAAAACCACGATTATGCCCCTTTTGCATAACATAATCTTAATGTCCACATATAAACAAAAATAGAAACATCATAATTATAAATAATTAAATTTATACAAACACACAGAAGCTGAAGTTGACTCTGGGTAGGTATGAAACTTTAAAATAAACTCTGTATACGTGAAACAAATCGCCGTAAAACACATGTACATCTTCTATTTTTTTAACTTACCTCTTATTTTTGGTTGAGTGGAAGTACCTAACTTTCATAGTCATTTGGGACCCTTGCCCTTAGTGGATCTTGCACTCTCATATTTTACCTTTTGTTTATTGAATAATCCAAGCTCTATCTTTTCAGCACAACTAGGTTTCCCTAATCAAACCATTAATTAAGTGATGTGTTCTAAAGTTCAAACACAAATTTATTGTCTCTTGAAGCAATAACTTTGTGACAAGAACCTAATTTTCATAAGCGAGTTTAAGCTGGCCAATGGTTTCAATCCAGATCATGTTCAGTTTCTAGAGTCTTTTTCTGTGATTGCTTCTTCAGTTTGCAGAGTGCAGCATAACTATAATGAAACTACTTTTTCATTGCATTTCGTCTGCAACTTCTAAATCTAGACTTTTTTTTTATTATAAACAGATTGAATCTTTTGTATTTGGTAAAGTTTGCTGTTATATTATGGGGTCTGTTGTTCTTGATGGATGGCCTTGGTTGGTAGTGTGCATGTAGACAGAAGAAATGAAAAACTCTGTGGTCCATGCTCCCATGCTCTAGCTTGGTTGGCACATCGATTTCATTCAATTACACCCTGTTTGTGGATGGAGGAGGCCCCTCCAGACATGCATGGAGGTTCTACTTCAAAAGGATGGAGAAGGCACATGAATTGATTATAATTTTTCTGTTCCCATTTAAAAGAAAAAAAAAAACAACGTTACTGCTGGTTGCCCAACGTGTGTACCTTCAAAAAACACGACCGCCTTTTTCTTAATTATTGAAGAGGGAGATTCAAACTTGGAACCTCTTTGCCTATTTTTTAATTATTGAAAAGGGAAATTCAAACTTGGAACCTCTTTCAACGTTAAGAAAAGAAGTACCACTAGACTAAGATAACAAATAATTTACTTATCTCGATATCATCTTGATATTAGGTCAATACTGTCAATATTGTCCCATTATTTCGCTAGAAAACAGTCTCAGATAGTCTTTATAGGATCATGTCTATATTGTCGATTTGCTACAGTAATATTGCTATTTGAGAACTTTGCAACAAAATGAAGGTATTTGATAATATTTCCCTTTTTCCCTTATCATTCTAATTTTTCCGTCTCAACCAGAATTATATGTTTATAAATTTTTTCTCATACATACTATCAAGATGTTATGGAGGTTCGAACTTGAGACCATAATCGCTGGAGACTAGACCCATTGCCTTAAATACTTGAAATGCATAACTATAGAATTCATGAGCATATATGTACCAAATGTCACACCATCATGACAGTGCAAACACTAATTTTACCATTCGGCCAATGCATCAAAACCACGATTATGCCCCTTTTGCATAACATAATCTTAATGTCCACATATAAACAAAAATAGAAACATCATAATTATAAATAATTAAATTTATACAAACACACAGAAGCTGAAGTTGACTCTGGGCATCTGAGTTTTCATTGCAAGTTCAAAGCAAAAGAATGGGTCCATTTTCTTTGCATCACGAGAAGAAGATGAGAGGCCCAAAATATATGGTGGTACACGCACTCCACACCAATAATGGAGCCACAAATGCTTCCATTTTTTTTCAAATTTTTTTTGCACCGACTTTTGTTCTTAAGATTATACATCAAAGTTGCTAACGGTCTAACCCAATAAAAAATGACATTACCTTACAGACTAGTGATATCATATTCGAATTTCCATGTGTGTGAGAAAATTCTGCTACCTGTTCCTAGCTTTGGCCACACACAAAAAAAAATTATATCAAAATTTTATTATTTCATGTCCACCACTAAAAATAAAGCCCCTGCCTAATTTACACTACTGGTTGCCGCCCATTAATGGCTGGGTCGACTCATTTCAAGCTTTCTTACATGAAGTTTATAATTGCGGTTCAACCATACGTGGCAAACCCTAAATTTTAGCCCTAGATTATCCATCAGTCACGTTTTGTTTTAACTTTAATCTCGGCATGTGGCGTTCGGGGATTGCCTGCTTTTTTTGGACTAATAAGCTCTCCCACTTTTTAATCCTTTGTGGTTGCCTGAGCCTGAGATATGTGGCTCTCTGTCTTGAGGGCCAAACCAAGCCTTCTGTTCTGTGTGTCATCCATTTGTGAAAGTACCAGTCACATTCTCAGTGGCCTTCGTTTCCAAACATTCTGAAATTAACTTGTGAACATGGAACTTGGACTTGACCCATCAATTTGCCAAGGTTTATTTGGGTTCCTGCTTCAACAGTTTTATATATACGAATATTATTTTTGGCCCCTTCAGTGTCTACAGAGTAGTAATCAACTGTCTCTTGGTTTAATGATATTTATCTTTCTAATGTTAGAATAATTCGTAAATTCAAATCTCATTCCTTCAAGTTGTTTAAAAGAAAAAATATGTCGATAAATTACACGAAGGCAACGCAAACAATATGTCGATAAATATGTCGATATTAGTAATGTGGACTCTTTGTGGTTTAAATAAGTAATTCATTAAGAAACGTCAAAGCAACGCAAACAATATGAGTGGACTGATAACGCTATATTAGTCGACACAACATGTTTTTAATTGAAAATTTCACGTATCATAATATGAGTGGATTGATAATACTATGTCGAGATATAATATAACCGTATGCAAAACTATATCCCTTCAGGAAGTTCAACATGTTATAACATGAATGAATTGCTAAGCGCCACAACCCACAAAATCTCCAATTGTTGAATTAAATATTTTGAGATCACTTCAGTTACAATTAATTAAACCGAATGCCATCTCGAGAGAATGCTTGTATACAAAATTCCATTGCATGTGTGCAGAAGCACTCTTGAACATGTGATGGGCTGCATGTAATCCAAAGCACTGACTCAACTGCAAACCACACTAAGAGAAGATCCATGTCTTGTGTTTAGCAACTCTTGTTCTTTTATGGGCATTTTTCACACCATGCATAAATCTTAGCACAGAGCCCAAACCAGTTATTACTTAAATCTTTTATGGGCAGTACTGTTCAGCTTAATTATTAATTAAATCTTACCAGATGGCTTCACAAAGTAAAAACTCAAATGGCTTCTTTTTTAATTTATTTATTATATTGGAAAAAAAGAAATTCTGGAATTTCGATCCTGGATGTCAAGTAGGGGAAAGAAAGAGGCCACAACCACTGTGGTAATCCCGCATTGGCTAATGATTTCTAAATTTAAGAATTTGGATTAAATAAGAAAAAAAAAAGAACCTTTAGAACCAAATCTATTCAAATCATCATACAGGCTCTCTTATACATGTGTCAAAATTCAAATTGATTTGCTAGCAGACCAGAGACCAAGCCAACAAATGTAGAGAGCTAAGGCCAAATCTCAACAATAAAATCTTAAGATATGCAGGTCACATGAATCAAGCTGCCATATCCAACCACCTCCCAAAATTCAATTTTCACTCAAGCTACAAAAGTTAATTAGAGAAAACCAAAAGAAGAATATGGCCAAAAGTTGGGACCCAGATCCAAGCACCAATGGGGACATCAAACCCCACAAATTCACATGCTCTCTGTGAGTGAATTTGCCCAGTTGAATTAACTTTATTACCCACATACACAAATATTAATTCATTTAATATACTTGTATATAGTACTAATTATTTCATATAAAAGGGATGTATACATATTTATTAATTATTACTCTTTGCATGTTTGAGTTTGATCAATTAGGCCAGCTCTAATTATACTTCTTTTCTCCATTGAGCTTTGAAGATTTTCTCTGATATTCCTGAGAGCATCAAGAACCTGTCTAACACTTTCACTAAGTGGCTTCGATTCAGTGCTGGTGTAACAGGTAGCAGGCATACCGACAGGTACTAATGCAAGTGTATTATCAACATAATCCAAGTGACCATTCTCATAATTCTCAATCTCTGCCATTGAAGAATTTATGTTTGAATAACTGAAACAATTGCCAAATTTTATTTTAATTAGCTTAATTTAGCAAATCCCAACATGGAATGCCAAGAACATTTTTAAGTACACACACTAAGCTTGAAAGAACTTCTCAGGTTAATTGGACTTGCATACCTATTTTCATCAATCTTTGAATCTTCAGATTTGTGAGTTGGGTTGTGGCAAAACCCTTCTGGGGAAGGACATCTTATGCTAGAACTTGAACTGGAACTGGAAGCACTGGTACTTTGAGCAGTTGTGTTTTCTTCAGTGAAGAGACTTTCATGGCTTTGCTCAGATGTGGTGGTGTCTGCTACACTTCGATCAAAATTTTCTGAGGTTTCTGACTCTGTAACTTTGGATTTGGGTTCATGGGCTTCTGGGTCATTGGAGCCTGCTGATGAAGTAGTAGTGGATTGACTGCAAGATATTTCACTGTTTTTGGAGGAACTTGACTGTTGGGATTCTACTGATGTGGAGGAAATTTTCAAAGATTCAAGCTTTCTCTTCAAAAATTTGAGCTTCTTTTCAGCTCTGTCCTTCAATTTGATTTCTTCATTGAGCTGGTTCTTTAGCTCCATCAACTGTTCTAACCCCAACAATTTAGAACACTATAATGTGAATGTGACAACACATACTCTTACTCTAGTCTAGATTTTACTTAAGAGTTAGTATAATTTTTTAAAAGAAAAGTATTCAGTGCCTTCAACACTAATTGAAATTAGAAAATTACCTTCTTTCCCATGAGTTCTGCATCCTCTTTTGCAACCCTTGAAGCTTGTCTCTCTGCAAGCAGTCTTCCTCTTAGGCACTCCAATGTCCTCAAACCACCATCTCCTTCCATCTTCCTATCACTGACACAAAACCCACATCACATTGTCAACAATGGTGAGAGAGAGAGATAGAGAGAGAGAGAGAGAGAGAGAGAAACCCACCTCCATTTTCCATCTTCCTTGCTAGCAGCAATCATTGTCTTTCTACTTGGTCTTTCAATGCAGCGAATTCTTGATCTCAATCTTCAGTATTCAACTGTACTCAAGAGCCACTCTCCCCCAACTATATATTCAACTCTACTCAAGAGCCACTTTCCGCCTCTTCAAAATTCAACTCTGCCCTTTTTGATAAAATCCTAAGAAAAAAAAGAAAACTTGAAATGTCCCTTCTTTTTATTTTCTGGTGGAGAATCTAAACTTGGCAAAAACACAGATGCCAGAGTCAATGTTTAGAAAACCAAAAACAGTAGTGTCTTTGCTCAATACCAGGTGGGAGATATTTCATTTACAGGTGACACTGCCTCTGTACTTCAGAGTATGTTGTTGGTAACTGTGATCATCTGCCAAAGTCTTACCTGTTCATTTATGCCCTCAGCCAAAAGTTTATATGGACACAAAATCATTTATTTTGTTGCCTTGGCTTTAAGCACTATACCACTTTTGTTAAAGTTGGGCACCTAAACCATGCCCCATCCTTTGTCCTCACTCCTTCCATTTCTTTTAGGCCACTTTCCCCTTTTTGCCTTGGAGCTCTTTCATCACTGATAAGGCACTCAATGCTAAATCATATTAGGGTTTTGTTAATTCTACCATATTGTTTTTGTTTTCTAATAAGCAGAGAGTTTAGACCATTTAATGTATCAGATGCGTGAGTACCATTTTAGTTTTAGCTACAGACTTCATTTATTGATTTGCAGGCTTCTGCTGAGGTGGGAAAGGGGGGTTGATATTATATATGAATAGATCTAAAAATTTGAAAATAGATCTAAAATTTTGAAATTTGAAGGACATCAATAATACAAGTAAATGTTCTTGATGCAGCTATTTCTGGCTGTTACTGTCATGTGATTTTACTGAATTGTCCTCATCCTCCATCCACCTTGCTAATGGTTTTTGTTCACATTTTCTGTCATTATAGTTTTCTGTTTCTGACATAAACAGTAGCACAAAAACTAAAACAGTGTGTTTGCCTGTGTAAATTGGACACTAGTTGAATATCGAACAATGCAATTTGCAGATAAATCTTTGTTTCTCTGTTTTCTTATGCATTCACATATATGATGCAGACATATGCAATGAACACTCACATGCACCCGCATCTTGGATATAAATGTTAAAAACGCCCCACTTCCATTTTTAATTTGTTTCTTTCTTGGGTCAAATTCTGAATTTGTTTTCTAGATGGTATCTCCTCAAAAAATTGACACCACCATTTTCTTGGGCAGGTGGCTGCACCACCTTCTATTTTACTAGAACAATTTAGAAAACACCACTGGCCAAGTCACCATTATCATGTCCAATTGTGTATGCTTTGGTGTAAAAATTGAAATCATTGTATTTCATATATAATCATTCATAAAAAATGAAAGGTGAATATAATTTCTGTTTTAAGGGTGTGAAAAGTTGATTGGCTTGAACTGCACTCAAAGAAATGACTAAGCATATTTCTTTATTTGATCATGCGCCATCAATACATCTACTTACCAAACTTCATCTTTCCCTATTGAATATATAATGAATAAGAAGGCAAGAGCTTTAAGCACACTCATTGTCATTAACTGGACTGGACCACTTCAAATTATTGTGAGTGGGGGCCTTTTTGGTTTGGCACAGCGGATTATCCTTCCAAGTTTTTCATGATTTCAATATCAATCCAGTTGGAAGAGCAAGAAGGGTCCAGAATCAATATATACGTTTTAAAAAACATTCTCATAGCTAAACATGTGGTTTAGTCTCTTGAACTTGTTTATGTGTAAACATTCCCATACCTACGATAGGCTTTCAAATGCTGCAACATTTGCTCCTAATAAAGAAGCTACCTATAAATGATTTTCGTGATAGTGTTATGGATAAGCTCAGGCTACAACATTTGCTTCTAATGAGGCTTAAACCTATTTAGTTATCTTAAAATGCTGCAACAATCTCAGGTAGCTTAGAATTAGAGTGTCCTTGTCAACGGGGTCTAACCCAGTGGAAAAGGGCATTGACTTGTAGACTAGTGGTTTAAGTTTCGAACCCCCATGACTTCTTAGTAGTGTGTGTGTGAGAAACCTTCCTCTTTCTTATAGTTTAGACTATCGCTTGTATTTCAAAATAGAAATAAAAATTAGAGTCTCCCTTTTTCCACCTTTTATAAAAACATCTTAGCTGTTGTCAGCTCCAAGCTCCATAAAACCATAAGCTAGTAGTGTGTGTGTGTGAGAAACCTTCCGCTTCCTTGTAATTTAGACTATCGCTTGTATTTCAAAATAGAAATAAAAATTAGAGTCTCCCTTTTTCCACCTTTTATAAAAAGACATCTTAGTTGTTGTCAGCTCCAAGCTCCATAAAACCATAAGCTCTTGCATTGGTTTTGGGCTTATGGAGTGATTTTGGGCTCATTTAGTTGTGGTTGAGCCTAGGTGGACTTCATCGCCTAAAGTTTTCTAATAATTGGCCAACCTGAAAACGGAGCCCATTCACATTTTATGGATGTAGGGGGATTTGGTTTCTTATTGGCTAATTTCATTTTTGGTCAAAAAATGTTTTCAATCTTAGGAACTGACCAGATTTTACTTTATAGGGTTGGTTTTATTAGTGTGTCCAAAATCTCCACTTGATTTAATCGGTGTTGTGTCAAGAGTCTCAGTTGGATCTGAACTTAGGTGAATTATAATTTTTAGGTTCCCAATAGAGGTTTTGTCTTTATTGTATGTGTGATTAGAGCATTTCCAGCAACAAACCCTTGCCATGGCAAGGGGGCTAGGGCTGACACTATTCATGTGAATAGTGGCCGCTCTTGCCTTTTTTAGCTATGTGTGTTTCCAGCAATCAAACCCTTGCCATGGCAACTACTATTCATTTTTTTGTTTTTTTCACAATTTTTTTTACTTAAACAATTATTTTGGATAATATTTTCGGGTAAGATTTTTGGGTTCCTACGTGTCAATACTATTCATAACAGATAAGATTTTCGGGTAAGATTTGGTGTTAAAAGTGAAGAGTATTTGTTGGTATTTATAGAAAATAAATTTAGTATTTTTTTGGAATTTTTTTAAAAAAATTTCGATTTTTTTTCAATTTTTTATTGCACAAAAAATTGGAGCCGTTGGATTGCTGGAAAAGATCGAATCGGAGAGCCCAGCTTGCGCCACGTGGAAGAGAGCCGTTGGGGGACTGTAGCGGGGTGCGTCAAATTTTTTTTAACGTTGGCGCGTGTGCTACACGCGCCAACGTTATGTGTTTCTCCATTTGATTTAATTGGTGTTGTGTCAAGAGTCTCAGTTGGATCTGAACTTAGGTGAATTATAATTTTGAGGTTCCCAATAGAGGTTTTGTTTTTATTGTATGTGTGATTAGTATGTTGCAAATAGAGCCATTGCGAGACCCAGGAGTAGTTCCCCACTTAGAAGCTACTTTACCATATTCTAAATTCAATGGTTTCAATAAACTTCCTGCATTAGTTCGTTTGGGGCGGCTGGATCTAGAGCTACCCTCAACACTTCTTCTATATTTTTCAATGCAATTTTCAAGTCTACCCTCAATTGCCAATGACCAAATGTTTTATAATGTTGAAAGCAATTAAGGGATTTGAAATTGCAAATAAATATAAATAAAAAAAGAGAAATGCCTTTTTGAGGTGGTAGTAATATGGTTTCAAGTAGATTAAAACCTCATGTTATTGGAGTGGAAAATTATTTAATCAACAAAAATGGATTATATTTCATGACCCTATCAAACCAATTATGACCATTGGCTTTTGATAAATACACACATAAAACATCTGTTTGGCTCTCGTAGTCGCATTATTAGCTACGAAACTCATTTACATATTCCTATAGCCCTAAACCACATGCGTCAATATCAAGTATTATATATGTGTGATTCTCTACACGCCATTCATCACATCCATGCAAATTGCAATCCCCCCATATCCTAAATAAATCTCTTCACAGCCAGAAAATCCATAACCCATTTGATTGAAACACGTGTACTTGTTTATGATCACCATATACTATTACATATACAACTTTAAAATACACAATTACTCGATAAGGGCTTGTAGTTTAAGTAATTAAGAGCAGTTATCTCTGCATCTGAAATTGTGTGTGTTCGAATCCTCCTCGAATAATATCGCTTGTATCAAGAAAAATACACGATCACTGGAATTAAGTTAAATCTACTGAAGATTGGTACCTGATCTCAGCTGATCAATGCCCTTAGATTAAACCCCTTTCATTACCAATCTTAACCAAAACCTCCCACAGCCGTTGGATCTCCCCAAATACATCATCGGTGGGAAGCCTAAATCTACAGCATGGACAAGTGTTCCTCTTCTTCAGCCACCGCAAAATACACATCCAATGAAACGAGTGCCGACATGGCAATTCACACACATCTCTGTTTTCTCTCATCTCCTCTTTACATATCACACACTCACTCCCGCCACCTCTCACCTCCACCGACGGAAGCGCCACCACCGCCGCAGGCGACGCCGCCACCTCTCTCCCCACTTTCCCGCCATAGCAAAAACCCATGACACTGACAAATCTCAAGCACCTCGTCAGCACCTCAATGTAAGTAACCAAAGCCGACCCATTATAGACCCCAATGCCTGACACCGTCAACATGTCGTCAGAGTACAAGTTGCTCAGAATTTCGCGCCATTTTGCGGTAGGTGCTTGGAGGGCTTCTGGGTTGTGCTGGTGTACGTCGCAGAGCAATAGGAGCAGCAGAACAGAGTCGAGGTCTCGTTGCTTGACGTCTTGTGTGGGAGAGAGAGGGAGTTGAGGCGGTGGAGGGTGAGAGAGAAGAGGATGGGGGAGGAGAGGAGAGAGGAGAGGCGGAGGTGGTGGTGGTGGGTGTGAGAGAGGATGGTGTGGGTGAGATCTGAGAGTTGGGGTGGGCTGAGTGTGGCCAGAGCAGCCATGATTGTTGTCGTTGGTGCTGTTGTTGTTTCTTCCATTATGGGATCGTGTGCTTGGACTTTCACCTTTTAACTGTTTTTATAGTGAGTGGAAAAGGTTGAGGAATGTTGTGGCTTTTTGTGTGAATTTTGGCTGGACTAGTTTGGCCATGGTGGTCTCTTGTGATGACCATTATGCCCCTTTGAACTTTTGTTCTATTCTTTAGCTAAATGCTGTGGATTATTATGTAGCCACGATTTTTGTAATGGATCAAAAACTTATAAATCAAAGTCCTGACATTCACATTATATCAGCTTCCATTTGTCATTACATGCTGTCGATTTTGCATTGATAATATTTTTTTGGTACAAGTGGAGGTTTGTTTTGTTGTCAAAATTTAGAAGAGGGAGCGGAATGTATTATTGGGGTTCGAACTTGAGGTATGTACCTGTTGAAGTACAATCGAAGATTAAAGACTTGTGAAGGAGAAAAATGTCGAACTCTGACGTTTTAACAGTTGGGAGTAATCTCAATCCATTGATGATACATATTTGGAGTTTAATATTCTCTACCATGTGAGCTATTGTTTTTGTTCCCCTTCAATCTCTTTGCAAAATAAATAAAAGAGCAAAAACCCAAACTTGATAAGTTGCGATAAGAGAGTTGTTAGCACTTAGCAACAATACTAGTGCATTGGGTTGTGGGGTAGATGAATTGAATGAAGTCGCTGGGGTATGTAGGTTTGTTTGTCCCTAAGTTAGTGTCCAGTTCACGCCCATTTGTCCTTCCTCTTTAATTATATCTACATAACCACAATAATTATGAATTGTATCAAGCAAAACAAGTAGAAGAAAAAAAAACACAATTGGCCCATCCATGGCTCGTTCCTCTTGTCCCCTGCACTGCTAATAATGCAAATGAAGCTGATGGAACTTAGCAACCATACCACAATATTCTTCGCTTCTCAAGGCTTCCTGTCACCTTTCACACTTACATGCACCGCCTACAGCTCCGACTAATCTTCATTGGAACTTGAGTAAATTTCTCAGCTTGCATCTGAGTTTGGAAAATGAGTGTCTAATTACCATTATGTCCCTTGCTTCTATAAGAACTCTTGGGGGCCTAAACAACATGTTTTCCAACCTGTGTCACTGTGTGGTAGGGTATGCAGGTAATCCCCCATTGGGTACCCTGGTCATTTTCTAGAGAAGACACAATGGTAAATCCTGTCATCATACATATCATTGGATCCTTCAACAGCAAGAAAGAATCTACAGCTAGCTTTGTTAAAGTATGGCCAGGTTCATTCCAAAAGCTTTTTACAACTATTGGGATCTCAAAAGGCATATGTCAAATAGTGATAAGATTTTTAATCAAAGAATGAGTGTGATAAACAATAAAAAAGTGGGTGTAAATAGAAACACCCAATCAAATAAATTGAACTGCAAGGCATAGTACACTTGTAATGATGAATGAAACTTGTTCCTACTTCTGAGCAATTAAAACACTTGAATTTAACAGACCTGTAATATTGCACAGCATCCAGGTGCCACTTCTTATAAATAGGGTAGTTCTTAAACCCTCATCCAATTCCCATTTTGCTTGAGCCTTCCAGTTATGATGATCTTGGCTCAATTGTTAACACTCTCCTCATCTAATTCATCCTGCAAAACATAACCTTTTTCTTTCATCAACCCCAGCAGTCCTTCCAATATTTCATAAATCTCTTTGGTTCTTCCGTTTGATACATCTTTTGCTATAAAGCTTTGTAATCCATCACTTGTTTCAATCCAGCTGCTGCCAGGAATCTTCCTCAGTCCAACTTCTTTCATTCTCTCCCTGACCTTATCTGCCTCTTCCCATCTCCCAGCTTGTGAATACAAATTTGCCATGATGATGTAGTTCCCTGTATTATCAGGCTCAATCTGAAACAAACGATCACAGACAAACTTTCCCAATTCTACATCACCAGAAACTGAAGCCCCATTAAGCAGTGCACCCCAAACCTTAGCACTCGGCTCAACTGGCATTTTGTGAATCAAGTCTACAGCTTCTGTGAGTCGCCCAGCTCGGCTAAGAACACCTACCATGCAGGCATAATGCTCAACCGAGGGCTGAATGCCATATTTCGGAAACATGGCATCAAAGATCTTCCAAGCTTCATCTACCACTCCAGAATGAGCACAAGCTGTTAAGACTGCTGTAAATGTCACTTGGTCTGGTTGAATGCCATTATTTAGCATCTCATAAAAAGAACCAAGAGCCATATCAGCATCTCCATGGGATGCATAAGCTGAGATTATTGCCGTCCAAATGATCAAGCTCTTACCTCTTGATTGATTAAAAACCTGCTGTGCCCCATGAACGAACCCCAACTTTGCATAAGTATCGATAATAGCAGTCGCGACATAAATATTCGCATCAAAATTGTTTCTAACAGAGTAAGCATGTAGTTCCTTCCCTGCTTTCAGATTTGATAAATAGGATATTGCGGGAAGAATACTTGACAGTGTCACGGTATTTGGTTTGCAACCACATGCCTGCATTTCACGAATTAAATCTAAGGCCCCTTCATGCCTGTTGTTCTGAACTAGACCTGAAATCATAGAATTCCAAGTACTTAATCTTGGCTTCTTACTTTCTCGAAAAAGATCCATGGCTTTGTCAACAAACCCATGAAACATGCAGCCCGAAATTAACGAACCATAAGTGACCTCATCCTTTTCACTCATCCCATGAAATAATTCTTCAGCAAAATCCAAGCTACCACATCTTGCATATAGCCCTATGAGAGCATTACAAAGAACAATATCCATCTCAATTTGACTCTCATTCACAAACTGGTGAACCTCCATACCAAATATAAGATCATTGGACTGTAAACATGCCTGCAAGACACTAACCACTGTCAACCCATTAGGCGTTAACCTCCCTAATCTTAACATCTCCCGAAACAACTCTTTACACTCTGCGTAATAACCAGCCTGTGAATACCCGGCAATCATCGAATTCCACGACACCGTATCTCTGTCCGGCATCCTATCAAACAATGTTCTCGCCCATCCAAGCTCATCACATCTCGAGTAGTAAGTTATTAAAGAATTAGTAACAAAAACATCTGAATCAAACCCATGACGCAGAACAAAACAATGAACCTCCTTAGCCAATCTTGAACAGGAAAGCAGAGCCCCCAAAGCCTTCAAGACACACGTAACTGTGAAATTATCAGTCTTCACTTCGTCCGAACACGAAGACACCATAGCTGAAAACAGCTTCAGAGTTTCGGAATGCATGTTGTTAAAAGAATACCCAATGAGCATAGCATTCCATGAAAAGGAGTTCTTGTGGGGAATTTGATCGAACACCTTGCGCGCTTGGCTGAGGTGGTTGGTTTTGGAATACAAAGTGATGAGCTTTGAGGCCAGGAAGTTGCTGGGCACGACTGTGAAGAGGACGAGGCGGGCATGGAGCTGCTTGGCCTGACGGAGCAGGCGGCGGTCTGTGCAGTGCTGAATGAGTTGGCCATAAGCCCCGCAGTCGAGCACATCGACTCTGTGGAGGCCTTGTAGGGCTCGTTGGACGTAGCCGTTGGTGGTGGCCGAGATTTGAACGTTCAATGGCTTTGCAAACCACATTCATTTGTTATTATTCGTACAAGATTAACTGCTTCTCCTTTTATAGCTATAGCTTTTCTATGTTACATCTTCTTTCTCACTAGACCTGGACCCGGTTCTTATAAAAGAAAAAAAAAATCCTTAATACTTAAAGTTAGCTTTGTATGCAAGAATATATATATATACATATAAATAAATAAAACTACCCTAAAAAGACCAGTGATGGGGAAATTTTACTCCTAGAATACACATTCCTCAGCCAATGGGGTCTAGTTAGAGGAAAGTGACTTTGACTTGCAAATTAGTGGTCTTAAGTTCGAATCCTTAGAGCGGTTCCAGCGTTGAGCCCTTGCCAGGACAGGAGGGGACTCAAGCCCCAAATTCGTCTTCTAGCAGGCTAAAGCTGCTGGGGCCCACGAAATCAAGCCAGCCCTCAGGCAAAATGGGCCCGTGCTATAGCTTGGGTTTACTAACGTCAACAATAAAAAATATATATATAAAATACAAAAAAATTCAGAATTTTTTTATATCTCATGTGAATAGTTGTTGCCATGACAATGGGTGGAAACACCACAAGCCATTTGCAAGGGCTGCCACTATTCACATGAATAGTAACAGCCCTTGCCTTGCCCTTACCCTTTAGCTATAGCTTTTCTATGTTACATCTTCTTTCTCACTATACCTGGACCCGGTTCTTATAAAAGAAAAAAAAAATTCCTTAATACTTAAAGTTAGCTTTGTATGCAAGAATATATATATATATACATATAAATAAATAAAACTACCCTAAAAAGACCAGTGATGGGGAAATTTTACTCCTAGAATACACATTCCTCTGCCAACGGGGTCTAGTTAGAGGAAAGCGACTTTGACTTGCAAATTAGTGGTCTTAAGTTCGAACCCTTAGAGCGGTTCCAGCGTTGAGCCCTTACCAGGACAGGAGGGGGCTCAAGCCCCAAATTCGTCTTCTAGCAGGCTGAAGCTGGTGGGGCCCACGAAACCAAGCCAGCTCTCAGGCAAAATGAGCCCGTGCTCTAGCCTAGGTTTACTGACGTCAACAACAACAAAAAAAATATAAAAAATACAAAAAAATTCAGAATTTTTTTATATCTCATGTGAATAGTTGTTGCCATGGCAATGGATGGAAATACCACAAGTCTTTTGCAAGGGCTTCCACTATTCACATAAATAGTAACAGCCCTTGCCTTGCCCTTACCCTTTGCCATGACAAAAGAGTGGAAGTGCTCTTATGGTACATTGATAGTGTGGGAGAAACCCCTCTCCCCTTATAGTTTGTATTCTTCCTATAATTACTCAGTTAACCGAATTATCATGTGACAATTTGTAATTTGATGAATACGCATTCCTCATAGAACAATTACCGAGTTATCATGTGACAATTTATTTTGAGAGGAGGTAGTGTATACTTGACTAATCAGTTACATTTAAAATTGTTTGCAATGGTATGACAAGTCATGACCCTATTCAATATAAAACTGTAAGTAATCGAGTGAGTTGGACCATATATTATTCCCTTTTTTTTTTTTGGTCCTATGATTATACCTAT